AGGTCAAGAGGTAATTGAGTAAAACAAAAAACAAAACAAACTGAAAAGAAACTGAGTGGAAAGACAGCTATACTGAGAGTTAGGGGGTCTAAGTCTAGTCCTGGCCTTGCTATTGGCTAGCTGTGGCCTCAGGCATGCTGCTTCACCTCTCTAGCCCTCCTTAATATCATCCATAAAAAGGGTTCAAGCTCAGATGGTTTCCAGGTTAAAATTGTTCAAATGAAGACACATTTATAGGGGCGCCTGGGTGGCTCAGTTGGTTAAGGGTCTGCCTTCAAGTCAGGTCATGATCCCAGGGTCCTGGGATGGAGCCCCACTTCAGGCTCTGTGCTCAGCAGGGAGTCTGCTTCTCCCTCTCCCTCTGCCTCATGTTTTTTTTTTTCTCTCTCTCTCTCTCAAATAAAATCTTTAAAATAAAAAAAGAATGAAGATACATTTATAAATTAAGAAACCTATTTTAAAGATATACTTTTAGACTTTAGAGAATTCTTTCCAGAATTTCCAGAGGTCCCCAGATGTGCCTTCAAGCACATGTGCTTCCTCAGATGTACACTGGGGCCTGCAGTTTGAATAATCACCTTTCCCACATTCCTGCATCTTCTTTATCCTGAAAGACTGTTAATCATTGCAAAAAATCCAGGGAGATTTGGGAGATGTTGAGGGACTTATAGGTCCATGGATTATTTCTGTCCTGTTTTCATTTTTTCTTTAGACCTTTCAGCTCATGCCCAAATCAAAATTTACCTTGTTACCTGAAAGTTCTACTTCATGATTTCTTAAGTAGTAGTATTAATATTTTATCAGAAGATTATTGCTATATTTTTAAAAGGGCTGCCAAAATATAAAATATGATTTTTATTATGTCTTGTGGAAAATCAGGTTTTTTTCAGAGAAAAATAGACTCAATCCTATAGTCAATAGAGAACTAAATATTTGGAAATGAAAGTGGGAGACAGAAGGGAATTATAATATGTTGAGTTCCTGTTATGTACCAGGCATTGTGCTTTCCATATATTATTTTATTTAACCCCTTCATAATCACTATGGTAGGAGGCAATAAGAATATCAGCCATCACCTATGCTAGACCAGAAAGTCTTCCGGAAGCTTTTAATGCAAACTCCAGCCACACTTCTCTCCCACATTCCAGTATTGCCTGACCAACTGCCTGCAAGGTCACTGGGCATTGACCTCTCAAAATCAGTATGGCCAAAGTAAGTTCATCCTCTTTCCCCAAAAGCCTTTTTGTATCCACAGCCCTTCTCATCTCAAGTGATGGTGAATGTACTCCTCCACTCCTTTGGCTAGAAGCCTTAGGACCATCCTTCTCTCCCTCTTTTCTCTCCATGCAGTACATCAGGAGATCCTGTTGCTCTCACTTCAAAATAAGCCCAGCATGAATCTGACTGACCACTCCTCATCAGCTCCTTCTGAGTCTGAGCCAATGTGGCCTCTCTCTACAAACTTTCCTTCTGCCTCTACATAGACCACCCCCCCGCCCCCGCCACCGCCATGGTCTGTTTCCAACTGGCAGCCAGTTTGAACCTGTTGAAATATAAGCATTGTCAATTCTGAGCTGAGACTCCTGCAGTGGCCCCTATTTCACACACTGTGAAAGCCAAGAAGCTGGACTACCCTTGATCCATCCCTCCCTCCACCTCCCCACAACACTCCCCACTGCGCTGCCATTTTCTCTACTAATCCCCCCTTTCTCCTTTCACTCCATCCCTATTGACTCACAATTCCAAGAACAACCACACATACTCCCACCTTCCAGCCCTAACCTTGGTGGTTGTGTCTGCTTGGAACACCTTTCTCTTGTACATGACTCACTCCCTCACATCTTTCAAGTGTTTGGTCACATCTTACTTTCTTAGTGAGGTCCCCTCACCTCCTGATAACCTCCAACCCATGTACTCCGGATCCCCCTTAACTTGGTCTACCTTTCCTTACACCCATAGCATGTTTCACATTCTAAAATACTCTGTACTTTATTCCTTCACCATGGTTATTATTTTCTATTTACTCACCTTCACTAAAATGAAATGTTCATTATTCCAAGCACCGATGATAGTGCTTGACATATGATAAATGCTCAATAAATCTTTGAGACATGAGTGAGTGAGTGAATGAAGACACAAATGACCTCATTTATTCCTCATACTAACCTGACTAAGGTTTCCTTGCTTCCATTCTACAATGAGGAAATTGAAACTCACAGAGGCTAGGTAACTTTCACAAGCCAGAAGTCCTATAAAAGGCAGAGATGAGATTAAGAGTGAGCTCTCTGATCTGGACCTTTCCCCCTTTATCACACTGTGTACTTTATGAAAATATCAGGATTCCATAAAATGTGATTCATTTACATTGTCCATTTCCCTTTCTCCACACTCTCAGCCAATATTTTTTTAAATGAACCTCTTAAAATGATATAACTAAAGTGACTGGCTTATAAAATAACTTACATGACCAGAATGATAGGAGGTATATTAGTTGGGACTCTGGCTGCAGAGTCATAGAACAAAACCACTTGTGTGAGTCAAAAAATTAAATGACTTGAAAAATATCAAGTAGAATGTGTCATAAGACTATATGAGCTCATGAAAGCCACAGGAAAAAATAAAGAAGTAAGAGCAGGAAGCAGATGAGTTTGGAGAGCTCTCACTCCACCTCCCATCAGTGTCTTTTTCACTTTTCTTTTCCACAGATTACTAGTATTTGCTCCCTCTGCCCATAAGGGACAAGGTGACCACTCTCCAGCCATAAGTCTTTCACCTAAATGAGATTGAAGTCTCCTAGTCCCAGATTAGAAGCTCAGCCTAGGTGAGGTCCCCCTCCCTGTCCAAGCAACAATGGCCAGGAATCAGGACTCACTGACAATGATGAAGGGCATCTTTGAAAGTTGGGGAATGCAGAGAAATGGGCTGAGCAGACACTCCAAATGCAGATGACTGTAGAACCCAGTGGAACCATGGAAAGCACACTATTGAATCAAACAGCTTAAGTTCAAATTCCCATTTTGGCTTTTTGTTGATTTTGTTTGTTTCTTTTTACTTTCACTCTTGTTCTTAGATGTAGGGACTAAATATTGGTTACTTGGTGATAAGAAAGAAGAAGAAAAAGAAAAGAAAAATCCTTGGAGTAAAGGAAAACAAGAAAATAAAAATAAAATAAGATAAAATACTAGAGAATCCAGAAATTCTGCATTCTAACTTCAGTTCTGTCACCAAGGAGTAAATGCCTTGGGCAAGTAATTCCCTGGTTTCAGGTTCCTTATCCATATAAATAAGGAGATGAGGCAAGAATCAGTAGGTTTCCAAAAGCAACTTGATCAGGAGAATGAACTGGGGGCCCAGATCAAAATGCAGATTACCCTGATTTCACTAATGAATATTCTGATTTAATAGATCTTGCATGACATTCTATAATTTGTATTTTTTGGCAGGTTTCCAGACAATTGTGATCATCAACCATACTTGGAAACCATTAGACTAGATGATATTTGAAACACCTCCCCGTGTTTGCGATATTTGTTTACATTAAGATTATCTAACTTACAAAACATCCCAGTTGTAATAAAATTGATTTCTTATTGTATATCTGGGTGTGTTTTTGAGAAATTCCATAATCTTTTCATTTTGTTTCTGTAGAAAATTAAGAACAATATCCAGTACAAAATAGATTCCCAATTAATAGAGTATCATTTTTGTCTTTTATAATGTGGATAAATGAAATACATATACAAATATATCCCCAACATGTTTTATATGCTATAAAAATACATGATATTGTTGTGTTATTATAGTTCTTCCATTTTACCACCCATAGTTAAGAATAAGATATTCTTAACCTATCAACTTTGCCAGGCTCAAAATATTGCTCGGACAAGTTCTACAGAGAATTGTATTAGCCCTAGTCTTTTTGAATGCCAGGTATTCTTTTTGGAAACAAATACAGTTATGGGTTTCTAAAGGGGTTGAACTTCAAGACAGGGATTCTGGAATGTCATTCTGCCTTTGTGCCTCTTAGCTGAATAAAAGTGGGCAAAACACATCACCTCTTTGGGCCTCCAATTCCTCTTCTGTGAAATGAATTCCATATTCATTCAGGCACTGTAATTCCTATAAATAATTAGGAGGTAAAAAAAAAATTATTCACACCAGTATTCTTAATTCCAAATGTCACTCTATCTCTGCTTAATACTTAGATCTACTATTTTTCTCATTCCCTATGGACACTCTTTTAATATGCTACCTAGGGCTGCAAAATGATATTGCTTAAACAGAACTTCTGTTGATACTTACTTTCCAGCACCAGATCATTTTTGTGTGTGATACAAGTCTCTTTCCATGTGAACTATGAGAGGAGAAAAATCACAGCTCAGCATAAAGCATGTGATAGGATTGGAAAAGTTACCTCCCATGACTCTAGGCCTAGTTACAATTCCATCTTGTCACTTTCTTCAAAAAGCATCAATAATTAGGGGTCATGGTTTGTTCTGAGCATCAGCAAGCCCTTGGTAGTGTGCTTGGGAAGATTATGCCCTTATTTGTGTCCTCCTGTGATGTCAGAAGAACCACCCTGTGATACCTTTTAGCCCTTTATTTACAGCTGCTTAGTTGCAGCGATGATAAAAGAAAGAATGCACAGGAAGTGAATACAGTCTTGTATGTAGAATGTATCCTGCAAAATCAAAAGATCAATGCGTGCACTTCATTGCTTTTTAAAGAAGATAAAATCTTTAATAGTAGAAAAGTAGATTGTAGAATATCAAACCTATTTATTTTGGTGACATTTGTTTGTGGTGGGTTTTATTTTCTGGAAAGCATAAAAATACAAAATATAACATCATGCAGAAACACATTCATGTAAATTTTCTATGAAACTCCCTTCTCACATCACTGAATTTAATGTTTGTCAGAGTAGTTCTTAAGAGATCTTAAGTATCTTTTTGTTTCAGGCTAGTAGTTCCATCTAATCATTGTGTTTTGTTATGTTTCAGAACAGCTGAGCATCACATACCAAGAGTGACAGCCAGTTTAAAAAAAAAAAGACCTGCAAAGTTTGGATCTTTTCCTGCCTTAGAAGCAAGAAAAATGGAAAATTGATAATCAAAGGTAAAATTGTGTCATTTCTCCTTATATAACACCAACCTTCTTTTCCAGCTATCTTATGCAAAACAATTTTTTTTTGCAGCATAGTATATTTGAATATAAATATTTTTAGCTTGTAATTCCAGTCATTAAGAGGCTGCTGAGTTTAGTCTGTGATTTTTAACTCCCTAGTTGCTTGTTACAGAATGTGGATGTGACAAGTTTTATATGTTTAATCTTCATTCTTATTGTTAACCTAGAACGGCAGATGAGGCAAATGCCATTTTCCTGACTGTGGACCAAAATAGTGTTAAGCATAGAATTATGAAAGTAGATGGCATCATATTAGCTTTTAATTTTTTTTAGTGTTGTATACAGGTTTGAACTTATCAGGACAATGTGTCCAACAAGATCTACATGCTCTAAGAAAGGCAGAGGAAATGCAAAGCTGTGATCTCCACTCCTTTCCTATCATTATGGAGTTTTGATAAGGGAAAAAAGGAGGGTCTTTATGACGTCCAAATCTGAAACACCACATATGAGGTGTCCGACAGAAGGGGGTTAATATTGCTGAATATATGAATAAGCTGTCATTTTTCCTGGGCTCGCTTGCTTGAGGCAATGATTTGGGTGTGGTGATTAACTGTGAAGCTCATCCCAAGGATGGGAGTCAGAGGTCAGGGAGAGTGAATTGGGTAAGAAGCCAAGGCCAAAATAAGGGGGGAGTAGAAAATTCCTCGGTGTGGACTGCAGGAGCACAATTCCCTGGGACCTAGAGGAGTGTGGGGGACCTCCCAGAATTTCTGCCTGCAGGATGTGTGGCAAGAGGTTTATCTAAGGGCTTTCCCCTGTTGGTTGTGGATTGCTCCCAGGGACGTTGACTTTGCCTACAATGCTGGGCTGTGCTGGCCCTGCATGGGGCCGGTAGACACTCAGTGGTCACTTGAAGTTGGACGCTAGAAAGGTGGAGAGAAGCCGAGTTGGTGCAGAACCATCTGTCTGTGCAGCTGTGGCTGAAATTACAGGTGGACCAAAGGGCATGATGCAGGGAACCAGAGGCATCTGTTATACTTCCTTTTACTTTATTTTAAATCCTAAAGTAAATCACATTTTCCTCCTCGATGAACTATCTCCAGGAAGAAAATGTTTTGTTTTAAAGACCCAGAAAATTAAATCCAAGTGTCATAGAACCAGAGTGAACTCTGTTTCAAAACTAATTTCTTCATCAATGAATTGTCTATGTTCAGAGTGAGACGCACATCTTGGTCAACAGGTACATTTGAGACATTATATATTAAAATTTGAAGTATGACCCAAATGTTGGAATAGTTAAAGACAATAGCATTTCATTGTATCTATACTTACTATTCACTGTTGATGGTTTTATGTACGAGAAGGTGTCTGATACTCAAAAAAACAGTTATCATTTTCCCTGTTTGGAAACAACCCAGTTAACAGTGTCATCATTTGTGTGAAAAGGGTGACTTAAATTATGCATGTCTGAGCATCATGGTACAAGGATGGACCACTGGTGAAACAGCTTTAACACATTAAAGTGAATCAGGGGGGTTTTGGCAGATTTAAGTAAAGTCAGGTGAAGGCTGCAGTTGTCTTGAGAACTAGTAGATCCTATGTTCAGAGGAGGAGTGTCATGTGTGAGCTCTCTAAGAAGCTATACAAGTAACCAGCAGCAAATATTTAAATTGATGTGCATTAGCATGCAAATCTCTGGTGAAGGAAATGAAATGTAGGGGTAGAGGAAAAAGAGCAGCAGAGAGACTTAAGGCAGGGGAACAAGGGAAGTAGTGGCAGATGTCAAGGCAGAAATAACAAAGGGTAGATAGAATCGGACTCTGGGATGAAGAGGACCCTGTGGTATTGGAGAGAGCTCTCTTAGAACCACAGCCTGAGCCCAGAAGGCAAACTGAGTGAACAGTCCCAGTGAATATTTGAGGCTGACAAATTCGTGAGTCATCAAAGATGCAGCTATTTTGTCTTCTCACCTGAACAATGCAGTTGTCTCTCCGTGGTCTCATTAGGCTCTAAAATCTTCCAAAATAAAAACTCTGATCATGGCTGTGCTTTGCTCAGAAAATATTCTCTAATTTACCAATCTATCATCGTCCAAACTTCTTAATGAAACATGTAAAAGCTGCCACTCTAATTTCTCAGACTTACTTCTTCCTTGGCCTCCCTCACCAGTGGTCGAGACCATTGTGGGGTCATGCAAATTCTGTAATTTATCAAGTCTCCCAAGTGGTTGTGACGTATTTTGGCTCTCAAACATAGATTGGTCTGGCACAAGACCCAAGAATTTGCATTTCTAACAAGGTCCCAGGTGATGCTGCTGGCCTAGAGACCTCACTTTGTGAACCACTCTGTAAAAACAAAAAATCTAGGCTCGCAGCTACTAATTCCTACATTGCAGTTTGAGTCAAAGACAGATTGCTGTAAAAGGGCTCACGTGCCAACATCACCATTGTGCGAAGGTGCCCTAGTTTAAGAACAGAGTCTGAGTCTTCTGGTCAAATATCATCTTCATGTCATAAAATTCCCAATAAAAGCTTTGTGATACATTTTTATATCCCCTCCTGGATTATAGACATTGTAGACCTATACATACTTGATGCATGGATGCATGGATGCATGGAAGGACGGATGGATAGGTTTGGCAGCCAAGGGTTAGTTTCAGCAAGAAACTTATCTCCTTGCAAAGAAATTGTCCTGGCATATGCCATTAGGGAAAGACGAATTTCCTCCACATGAACACCTTCTTATTGTATAAGACTGTACTCAATATATAAGACATTTTAATTAGATGGATTAGCTCTATGCATTCAGAGCCTGAGTGTCTGGCATCAATCGGATTGTGCTCCTTAATAAGCGGAGTCTTTCACAAAAGACTTTTTTGCTATTTGATTGAGTACAACAGGGGGCAAATGTCATTTATATCAAGGAAAATTGTACATTTTACTTTATAAAAGAACCACTGGGTATGTGAAATCAGGAAATCACATCTATTTAATAAATTTCTTTGCAAATGTCTCTTCCTTGAGTTTAAATTTTGCAGCTGCAGCATAATTTGAGTGTTTATTCACATGTAGGACAATTGTGCTTTCTGGGTCTTGCTTTCTCGCATTCAAATGTGTTCATGTATCAACGTTGCACATTTTCCTTCTGCATCTCTTATCTGCGTACATCATCCCATGACTGGCTTGGTAAATTTATCCTACTTTTCTTGCTAAAATAACTGTTCCTGCTGTCTGTTTTCTGCCTACTCTTTGATTTATTCCAGAAATTAGGCTCAGTGCCGACTTTTATAACTCAGTGCGAAATTTATTCTGTATGTTTTTAAACCAAGTTCCCACATATTTTTTTCTGTTATGTGTTCTATAGTGGTGTCAACTTTGAAATGCACCCTTGAAGAAACCTATTAGGGCTATATATTAGCATAAATAAGAACAAGAGATGATGACATGAATCTTGAAAATTTCTTTTTGAGGATTTGTTTCTTAATTCACTTTAAGAGTAGAAAATTCAGGCGCCTGGGTGGCTCAGTCGTTAAGCGTCTGCCTTCGGCTCAGATCATGATCCCAGTGTCCTGGGATCGAGTCCCACATCAGGCTCCCTGCTCAGCGGGAAGCCTGCTTCTCTCTCTCCCTCTCCCACTCCCCTTGCTTGTGTTCCCTCTCTCGCTGTGTCTCTCTCTGTCAAATTAATAAATAAAATCTTAGAAAAAAAAAAGAGTAGAAAATTCAAATTTTCATGTCATGTTATGGCATGCCTAATGTGAAGCTTAAAGGAAAAGTCTAGTTTCAATTTTTTTACTTTGGTACATGTCCTTGGCTGAGTCCTATCACCTCGGTAACCTCCATTATAAAAAGAAGGATTTACGATCACCATCACTGGGATTCATCCCAGTGTCTTACCTTGCAATGTCAGGATGCAGATCATATGAAATGCTACCTAAAATCAGGCCCAGAAGTACAAAGGAGTCAGTCAATTAACTTTCAGCACATATTTGACAGTGAAGTTGAAGGAGCAGGGTTTTGGATACAGAAAGATCTGAGTTCAAAACCTAACTCTTTCCCTTATTACCAATATGAGCTTGGAGAATTTCCTGAATCCCTCTATGTGCCTTAGCATTATCATCTGTGAAACGGGGGCAGAGTTAGTAGTACCTGCAAGGTTGCTTTCAAGATTAGAGATAATCCAAAAAATGTCTAGCACTTCTATACTGAACATGCATAGCTCTAAGGATATGGGCAGGCCTCTAAGCTGGCCAGAGCCCAAACCATGGTCTTAAAAGTTAACAGAAGATTACATTCTTTTTCTCCAATATAAATCTGCCAGGCTAAGAAATTTTTATTTGTGACTCTGAAAAATGAACAGAATTTAGAAAATGTATCCATAATTTAGTCATCTGAGACTGGCAACACTAATGGGAAAATTCAACATAGTTTTGCATCTAGACAGGATACCTGGTTCTGTACATTGTAAATAATTACACACAGCAAGCAAGCCCCTTGTCATCAAGAGTGACCTCTTCGGGGTCAAAGCATGAAGTTTGCAAGTTGCATTCTGTCTCCTGTCTTGTTATCTAGCCACACTTTGGGCAGAAATTAAAATAAAGATTCTCCAAGACATAGGTTTAGCCTGAAGGAATAAATGTTCATATACTCTTGATTTATATCTGATTCCAGGAAGTTAAAAGGTATTCCTTTTTTTCCCTTTCTTGTCCTCTAACAAAGAATTTTATAGCCAATTTGCCTGATGCAGCCTTTTACACAGAAGCAAAAGAAATCAAATTTTAGTCAATAAAGGATTCATTTACTACAGGATTCATGCAAATATTAAATATTTTTCTGCTCTTTGTGTTTTTGAGGTTGAATTGTCATTTTGATATCAATGAGCTGCAGTGCTTTCTCAGCAATAATTCAGATCTGCCTACTTAATAGGAATAGATCAATAAAATTTTGGTGG